AGTTTCACTAACTCCTCACGCAACACCGACTACCGTCTAATCAGGAACCCATGGCCGGTAATCTCTATCAATTGGACCCTCAATCGGCGGCTGAAAAAGCGGTTTCTGTTATCGGATTCGGGTACGACTTGTCCAAGGATATCAGGCTTTCGGCTTGCCTGTCGGGCCCTTCTGGCTCGAGAGTGATCGAACTTGACTCGGCAGCTAGTCAGGACCTGGTTTTTCCTGGTGGGATTGTTGTAAAAAATTTGCCCAATTCGATTAAATGTGATAAAGGCGAGCACACCAGATCTCGTTCTGATGTTCTTTCTTTTACTCAGGTAAGCTTTACTACAATTTGCTTTGGTGATGATGTAAAGGAAAGTTCCATTAGTTTTCGAATTACCATTATTTTCTTGTTTATTATGTCCTTTTGCTAGTTCTCCAAAGCTTTGTTATTTAAAAGTTGTTTTGCATAAGCGAAGGGCTGACGGGTGTTTGTATGTTTGAAATTTTCAAATTTTCGTATAATTTAGATATTTTTTTTATTAATAATTTATTTTTATGCATAAAATTTTACAATTAAACTTGTGCTCGGACCTTTTCATGATTTATGTGTTGCTTTCTTTGTATTTTAACTTGGGGGTCATCTTGTGCTAGATGTCGGAAAAGTTCAACCATGATCTAACATTATCCGGCAAGATTCCTTCGGGCTTATTCAATGCCATGTTGAGTTGGAAAGAACAAACATAACTTTGTCCGAGCGTGTGAAACAAGAGGTGCTTACTACATGGGACCCTGCTGCCATTGCTGAGTAAGTCAATTATAAAGAACTTGTGCAAAGCAATTGCACTTACAACTTTAGTGCTCTCACCCGGGTCGACTGTGGCTGTTCATATTGATATTCTTTACTAAATCGATGCCAATTTTGTTTTTCCCCAGGTTCATCGAAAAATATGGTACTCATGTTGTTGTTGGGGTTAAAATGGGAGGTAAAGATGTTATACACGTAAAACAATTACAAAATTCAAGTCTTCAGCCAAATGAAGTGCAGAAAACTTTAAAGCAGTTGGCTGATGAGAGATTTTCAGAAAACATAGGAACTCCTCGATTCTCGGAAAAAAACAAAGGTACATTTAATCTTTAAAATCTGAATGAATTGTGCATGCTCATTAGGGGAGAGTAATCGGTTTATTCGGTCGGTTTTTTTCATCTAAACCGACTTAACCAACCATAATATTAAAAACTGAACCGGCTGAAATTGCCACTTAGTTAGCATTCTATGGTAGACAAAACTATTGTTATTAGATAATTGTCGGGGACTGTCCACTATGCACTGTATCTCTAAAACATTCTTGGCAAGAAGTAATTGAGGTAAGATAATGCCATATAAGAAACAGAAGGATTCCAATTCAAATTATAATTATTACTCGACATATTGCATATTAGTTCATGAAAGAGCACCGACAATACCTTTTTTCCCTTTTCTTTTCTAACTTTGTTTTCATTGAAAGAGCATGCGTTTGGAACTTCAACGGGTGCTCGCTGGATCAATTAGGCCACCTGTTGTTACTTGCTCAAAGAATAGTGTAAATTTCTACTTTAACTGTTGTTTAGGAGTTGCAGCTGTAAAGGAACAAAATGCTTTCAGTAGAGGTGACTCCATTTGATTTTTGTACTTTGCAGGACACTGAATATCTATATTCGAAGGAGGGGGCATTGATTTTGGTCAAAGTCATAGCCAGTGGCTATCGACAATATCACAATCACCAAACGTTATATCGATGGCCTTTGTGCCTATTACTTCTCTACTAAGCGGTGCTCGGGGAAATGGATTTTTAAGCCATGCAGTGAACTTGTACCTACAGTGTGAGTTTGCATAATTTTTCAAGGAAAAATGTCTTGGTGGCATTATGTATGAGTGATTTATGCAAATTGGATTTTCCCTTGTCAATTGGGATTTAGATCATTCACATATTAACACTTCGAAAATGCATTTATTTGATTTTGAATTGCAGTTTCATACTTTGGCATCTGTACTAATAATAAGTCTTGTAAAAGATGAGATTGTTTATGCTTCTGGAAGATCTATAATAAATTTAAAAATACATTAAAATATTAAAGTTTTTGCAGACAATGATTGCCATGCTGTGTCCTTTTGAGTGAAAGTTTGTGTACACGATGGATCACTGTTTTCACAAATCATATTACAGCACCTTTTTCGGTTATATGGTGCACTGATTTTCGCCTCTAATGATTGATGATATCATGCAGATAAACCACCGATAGAGAAACTCCATGTATTTCTAGAGAACAATGTTTACCGACCTTCGCATCTAATTTAGGAAATATTGCCTTCATGATGTCACTGGATGATTCCCATGATTAAAATGCATCGCAGAACTCGTGCATGTGATGTGATTATTCTCATTTGACTAATTCCCAAGTTCCAAATCTGCTATTGCAGGTTGATACCGGAAACCGACCTGTGACAGGTATACGCCTATTCTTGGAGGGTAAGAAGAGTAACCATCTAGCAATCCATCTTCAGCATGTCTCAACTCTCCCTACAGACCTGCAGCTCTCAGATGATCACAGCTATGAGTCGATTGATGAGCCAACACGTGGGTACTTGGAACCCGTCAAGTGGAGCATATTCTCACATGTATGCGCCGCCCCTGTACACTTCAATAGATCCCACTTTGATTATACAGCTCCTATAGTGACCAAAGCTTGGTTCGAGGTGAAGGTTGTAGGGATGAGGAAAGTTCTGTTCCTGAGGCTTGGGTTCTCCATAGTGGCCTCAACTAGGATCCGCAGATCAGAATGTGACGGACCCTCAACACAGTCACGGAAATCCGGAGTCTTCTCAATGTTGATCAGCACAAGGTTCAGTTCAGGACTGAATCCAAACGAGAAACCAACTAAAGTTAAATTCAGCAGTTTTTCCAGGTGGTCCACCTTCACCACCAAAAGCACCCAAAATGACAAACTTTGTAGACACAAAGGAGATGGTTAGAGGAGCTGAGGACACACCTGGATACTGGATGGTTACCTGAGCCAAACTTTGTGTAGAAGATGGCAGAATCTCAATTAAAGCTAAGTATTCATTGCTAACAATAATGTCAGATGAAAGCATGATGTTGATGTGAGAAAAATACCCATTACTTGTACTGCTCTGTAAAGTAAACGTTGGCATGTACTGCTACACCTACACCCTTTTATTTGAAATTACCTTGAATAGGCACAAACCCCGTTCTTCTGAATTCTTGTTGAAAATTTATTGTTCTACTAAGCAAAACTTTAATGCACTTACCTGGAAATGATTTTAGAAATTAGGGTAAACTAATGATTCATCATTTATGCGTGTGTTTTGTTTGGTTTTCCTCGTTGATTTTAAAAAATATAATATATGGTCACTTTCGTTTTTATTTAATTAAGATTTTGTCACCGTAAGTTAATTGTCATTAAATATTTTGGTAAAATTATACATTTGATCCCTATTATTTACATATTCTCTCAATTTAATTATATTTTTAATTAATTAAAATAAATTTAATAATCTAATCAATGATATCATGTGTCACGTATCACTTGTCACCATTCGGTTAGACACTAACTCTATTTTAACTTAATATATTTTATTCTTATCTTAACTTCAAAATATTTTAACATAAAATGTATTAAAAGTAAGAATAAATGAAAACAAATTAAAATAAAGTTATTTATCAAATCGAATAGTGACACGTAGAACGACACGTGACACAACACATCTTAATTAAATAAAATGGAAAGTGTTTGTATCTTAATTAAATAAAAATAAAAATGATTATATATTATATTTTAAAAATCAATAAATAATAATAAAATATAAACGTGTTTTACATAAATGATCAATCATATACTTAATCCTACAAATTAATTAATTAATATGAATGAAGTGTTGTGAGGGCAAAGTAACATCCTATAAATGCTTATTATTGGACATGTTCTTGAAGCTACCGATTATGAATTAACCAATAAATGATGAATTTAATAACAGAAAATGATTATGAATATCTAACTAAACAATAATATCAATGGTCAATTATTGATAGAAATATCACAATCATTTATTAAAAAATATTATCTTATGATAAAAAAAAAGGAGTAAGAAACTGTAATTTCACATATCATTTTTATTTATATCATACCATATAATAAAAATTCTATGAAAAATTAACTAAATCAACAATGAAAGGGTGAAAATACTTTACAGCTAACCTAATTTTCTTTTGCCGTCTTTTTTTTACTCTTTGAATTTTGTTTAATCCACGACGGTATTAATCTTAATATTAATTGTTAATCGTTAATGACTATTAGTTTTTTTATATTATGTTTTTTAATTTTTCTTGAGTCTTTTTTTATTTTTAAAAAAAATCTATGTCTTTATGACACGATTTTCTCTACCCTTATGATATGAATTTTATATGCTTTTGTGACACGTCCTTATGGTTTTGGTATGCTTTTTGCATACATCTGAGGTCATTTTGGTTTTCGCAACAAAAAAAACATATCCACATTTAGTTTATCAGTGGTCACGTATAATCAGATCTCCTCTTTTGGTAAAATGATGTTTGTCGATGTAATCAAAATTGTGTAGCGAAACAACATGTCAGATTGTTTGGTTCGCTCACCACTCTTTTATCACTGCGTAAAGCGTCTCATTCAACAAATATAAAGAGTTTTTAGGAAGGTTATTGAATTTTGATATTGGTCGTTATTCTCAATAGAATATTTTATTATTTTATGTATCTTTAAAATTGATATTTTACTTTTATATGAGTATTTTAATAATTATTATCTCTAAGTTTATCTCTATATTTTAATGATTGTAATTTTATTTTTTCCACAATTAATGACATGCAATTGTCATCGTTAAAAAAGTAATGAAAGGGCGAAACAATATTTTTCAATATTGTGAAATTATTTCCTTATAAGACAAATCCATAGAGAAAAAGTGGATTCAATCTTTCAAAAGTAGCTAAAACGTCATGGGAGAAAAATAGGAACGGTTCAATTTCTGTTCTACATCTAGGGCTTTCCCATTTCTCATCTTCCCCAGGCTCTGTAAAGGAAAAAGAAAAGCAGAGAAGAGAGGAGAGGAGAGGAGAACGGCATTTGAATCAATGGCGACGACAGGGCAACAACAGGGACAACATCAGCAGAAACAACAAAATAAAACAATAGAGAAGAGAAAGCCAGTGTTTGTGAAGGTAGATCAGCTAAAACCAGGGACCAATGGCCACACCTTAATCGCCAAGGTATTGTCCTCAAACATGGTCCTTCAAAAGGGTCGAGCCCCTTCTCGAAATCTCCGCCAAACCCGCATCGCTGAGTGCCTTGTTGGAGACGAGACCGGCACTATCCTCTTCACTGCCCGTCATGATCAAGGTCTTTTTTTTCTATCCCCCCATTTGTTTATTTCTTAAAAAGTTTTCTGCTGTCTGATCTTAGTTCTCTCAAAATGGTTCATTTTATTTCATCCTTCAATTCAAAAGCTTTGATCTTTCCTTTGTTTTTTTTATTTTTGGCATTGCATATATGAAATACAGCGGCATTTCAGAAGCTTTTATTTATCTCTTTTGTTTTGTTAGTGCTAGTGTGGATTTGATATAATCTAGGATCTAACTATCAATGATTTTACATGAACTGTTTCCTGACTAAATCCTTGATTTGTGGAATAAATTTCTAGCAAGGTGAACTAAGTTCTTACTCTATTTGTTGTGATTGAATCGATTCACCATTCAAATCCTTAATTTTCACATGCTCACGATTGCAAAAATTGGCGTTCAAATCTTTAAATGTGACTGAATAAACCAGATATTGGATTTAATTTCCATTTAAATCCTTCATTTTTTTTGGTAATGCACTTGCTACTCTCATTATCAACATTTGAATCTACTTAGTCTAAACAACATAATGATGCTTGAATCATTTTCAGTTGACTTGATGAAGCCTGGTGACACTGTCATTTTTCGTAATGCAAAGATTGATATGTTTAAGGGTTCTATGAGGCTGGCGGTTGACAAATGGGGCCGCGTTGAGGTCACCGACAATGCAAACTTTGTTGTTAAAGGAGATAACAATCTATCTTTTGTGGAGTATGAGTTGGTTAGTGTAGTTGATGAATGATAGAGATTGCATGGACCTAAGGTGCTAGATGCTCGAAGGTGGTCTTAAGAGTTGGCCTGATGATAATCGTTTACTCATCATAATTGTTGATGAGATGCTATTGTGGTACAATTTTCATTGTGGAATTGTTGGGTACTTGGGTTTGGTATACAAATCTTGCTGATAGTTGATCTTCTGCTTTATAATTTTTAACATCTAGTAGTCTAGTTTAAGTACTAGTCGAGTATGTAGAAGACTGTTTCTTTCTTGTGATCGAATTGCATCTGGAAATTTAAGTGATGTTAGTAAAATCTTTCTATATCAAGCTGTTTGTTCTTCATTACTTTAAAAGTTTTATCAAGGCTTGTTCGTTCTTCTTCGAATATTTGCTTCAAATCTTTCCCAGACTAACCGTGAATAGAGGGCCAAACCGTTGCCTTGACTACTCTGTAACTGAGATTTGGGATCTATCTTGGTTCATGGTGTACGGGAGCATGTATTGATTCAGGATAAAACTAGGAAGATGTTTTTTTTCCCAAGCAAGAGCTTAGCTGGCCTCTTTATCTTTCAAGTATTTGCTTGAAATCAGTGTTGAACTTAATGATATTAAAACAAAAATAACATTTGGATCTCGGATTTGTCAAACTTGACGTTAATTTGATGGTGTTGTTGGAAGGTTACAAACAATGTTAATGACTAATTTATGAATATCCAGGACGAGAAAAGAATTTAATAGAAGATTGGAATCAGTCCACTCGCTTTGATTTCATCTTGTTTCTGGAGATCTTTAGTAGGGCGCCTAGTATGAGAGGAATGCAGATTCCCTGAGATGTATCTGCACCGTGTCCTCTGGATACATCCCGGCAGTTGCAGGCACCTCTTACCGGTAACTGCCTATTGCTTTGTGTGGTATGGATTGTGTTTTGTAAATACAATGGTCCGCTCTCATCTGCTCCGTGTCCGATTAGCTTCCCTAGAGATACGCTGCTATCTTGAAAAAATGATGCTGAAGACTGGCCATGGAAGAAATCATATTTATTGGTAAATATTTAAATATATTCATTGCAAGGGATTGAAATTACCTCGGTGTCATGTTTTTTTATTTATTTATTAAATTGATGTGATTACAAGGTAGTATCTATTCTAAAGATTTTAATCAATTCGATGTGATTTCAAGGGTTTGGAATTACCTCGGTGTCAAGGTTAGAAGAGGAGAATGAGGAGAAACTGCTTGAAGGAATGTGCAAAGAATATGGTTCCACCGCCGGAGCAGCATCCTGATATCTTTCTTGTAACCCAAGCCTCATGGTCATTATTTGTAGCCCAAGTGGCCACCCATTGGACGTCTCATGATTCTGGGAGAATTAATCAATTCAATATTAGCTCTCAAATGTGCATTGTTCATCAGTCTCAAATATAATAGCAAATCATAACTTCGAATTGATTATCATCGGCAAGAATTTAGTTTTTGTGTGTGTGGCAAAAATGGGTAAAATTGAAAGAGATTGAACAAGGGAAGTTTGGTAAAAGCTATGTGGGGGATGGGTGGCAATGTTGGCAGGTAAGCCCTTGGCACAAATTAAAAGTTTAAAACACTCGAAAGATTTTGACATTTTACTGTCTGATTTCCCGCCTTAAATGTCAGTTTCACCTTCTTCTTTTCTTTCAGAAAAGTCAGTTTCACCTTCAAACACAAGCTAAAAGCCCGTCCCATTCTGATGAAACAAAGTAACCAGTTAAGATCTAATGAAGATTTCTCAACCGTTCTATCTTACATCAAACACCAACAGTTCTACTGCAGTATTTGACATATGATGATGTAAGAATATCAAAAAGCATGGATTAAACTCAAAGCGGAACCGACCATGAATTTCTTCCAACGACACCGTTTCCACTCTACTAACATGTAAGTTCTTCCAAAAAGGAAGACTCTCGGTGGAATCACAGATCAGTAATGTTAACAGAGGCAGGCACTGAGATAAAATTTTATCATGAATCAGGATATGAAAAAAGTCATTAAAAAACACTTTTATATCTCCAAAGTGACTAATTCGAAAAGCTTTCAAATTTTAGATCCCTCTTATCCCTATCTCTTTCTAGTAAACAGCAGAAATTGAAGTAACGGTAGTTTACAGTTACTGCAATAGCGGTGACATTCAGAATTACCAGAGACCAAAATCTCATTACTTTCTATTTCCAACCACAGAAGATATAAGCAAGAAAAATAAGGAAACAGATTCTTGAACAATAGGAACAAAAATTCATGAAAAATTGCGCAACAGAAAGAAAACACATAAGAAGAAGAATGATATGGTTATTACCTCAGCAGCCATGGCTTGAGCTCTCGAATAGCAAGAGAAAAAAGAAGAATTGGAATCAAAATGGCACTCAATAAATGAAGATGAAGATCACAAAATATAATGGCAACCTGGAATACAAAATCCCTGTGACCGACTGTTAAGATGGTTAGTAAGAGCGCCCGTCTTAGATTGGCTCATCTGAGAGATTCTTCCTTAAACAATGAAATATTAATGAAATGGACCCCAGGGGAGATGAGTTTCAGCTTTGCAAATCACATGAGAGACTTGATTAATATAAGCCATACTTTCTACTTCATTATCTTAACTTGGTCTCATAATCACATCTGTTTAGTCATTAATAACAACATTTTAACCATTAACTTACCGCCATACTTCAAAAATCTCTTTCGACAAGCAAAGGGGTTGGTAATATTGCATACAGTTAGGTATTAATCAGTAATCATGAATAGTAATATGCTAGCAGTACTTCCCCCACGCATTAAAGAAACAGGACTCGCGTCATATCAGGGGAATTAGACAAAGATGTGAACTTAACTCTGTTTTTCTGCTAAATGAGTGCTGAAACAAAACCAGTGTTCAGAATCTTGCAGGCAGCAAGAAAATCAGTGCTGTTAACCTGTTAGGACACTATTCTAGTATTTCCTTACTGGGGTTTTCATTTTTTAAATTTATTTTAACTTCTTTCCTTTCAATAGCAATGAAATGTTTTGTTTCAGTATGCCATGAGGATCATCACATAAATGGAGTAATCATACTAATTAAACAAAGCTAGAAAACAAAATGAAAATGGGATTCTTGTTGGCTTGTCTATTCACAACTCTTCACTCATTTTCTATTTGATCTGTACTACTCTGTTCAGCTTTCCTTCGAATCCGAACAACTGCATTTTGAAAGGAACCTTTACCATTAAATAGCAAAATTTGTTGAAGTGATTCTTACTTGTTAACCAAAATTTTAAGCAAGGCATTGATTGATTAGTTTCCTTGAAATTTAAGGCCAGGGGGTTTGGTTTAGAAGTAAATGGAAGGCATTGCTGCTGACAGGTGGAACTTAAAGAGAAACAGGTCTTGACGGGAACACGAGACCAAAAGAAGGTTGTGGTTTCATATTTCGTTTATATTCTGCAAAACCAACTTAAAAGCACAGATTAATTTGGAGTTAAAAAGTTGAAATCAATCAATGTTTTGGTTGTTAGAATCATTAACTTCACAACCTCTATTGTTTCTTGCTTCATTTGTCATTTAACTTTCACGTTATTGAGATTTCAGCTCAGAATTTTCAGGCATTGATATGGATTATGAGATGAATTTAAAACTCCACCATCTTCGTTTGCCTTTCAGTAGTTTGTTACCCTGACTGCATGATGCCAATCATCCTCCGCATTAATGAAAGAAGGACCATTGTTTTTCTGGTTGTAGAGAGACTGTGTTAGAGAAATTGAATTGCATGCGGAATTGAAGGCGTTTTACATGCTGCCTTTTTGTGTTTCGAGGAACGTTTAGAAAATAAATCATTTTATTTAGCAAGCCGAAACTCCCGCCGGCTGCCCGTCCAAGTGTTGAACGACCGGTCGTGCGTTTGGTTCACGGAATGTAAGATTATCAGTCGGAATGTAAGATTACCAGTGAGAATGTAAGATTACCAGGGAATAGGATTACTGTGAATGTTGTATTTTGTGTTTGGTTGGTTTAGCAGGAATGTAAGATTACCGTGTTTGGTTAAAGGAATAAAAGATTATTGGAATGTATATTTGACAAAATTGTCCATATTATATAATTATTTTTTTAACAAGTTGAAAAATATTTATATAATATTTATATATTTTCTTTAAAAATTTTAAATTTATAAAATTTATATTTTTTTACAAAATTTAAAATATAAAAAGGTTTAATGAAAGGGTAAAATTTTATTTTAACCCCTGAACTTCATATAAAATTTTAATTATAGATTTTTTTTGTAAATCTAAAATATTTTAAGGATAAATTTGTAATTTAACCTTCGTATAATTTTTATTATTCAATAACAGAAAAATGATATTTTTGAAAGAAAAAAAATTAAGGGCATTTTAGTCCAAAACGCCGGTAATCCAACAATACCTAAGGAAAAGGAGGTAATGAATATACCCAAAAATCTACTATTGATAATAAAACATTACTGGAAATGAGATTCCCAGCCAAACAAACATGGGAATGTGGATTCCATTCTTATAGGAATCTCACATTCCTTGATCCAAACACCCATAAGGGAAAAGGAACACGTGGTAAGTAAAAAGTGAATATAGTATATCAAAATATACTATTGTTACGACACATCGAAACAAACTATTAAGTTAATATACAATTAAATAACTAAAAATGAAATATGAAAATGAAGAAAATATCAAATATATGGTGAACTAAGCATAAACATGGATGTTGTTAGGAAATAGGAATATTAAGAAGAAAATATATAATCAATTTATTACATTAAATTATGGACTAAAGTTCAAGATTTACACGATTTAAAGAATCAATGGGTACTGGTCCTGGGGCCTGGGTCGAGTCTATGCCTGGCAATTTGGGCCATTCTTTATATTTGTCCAATTGGTTTAATTTTATTGATGATCTCCGATCAAACAAAACTTGAATTGTAAATTATTCGCTTCGCTTTCTGGCATTACTGCTCCAACTTAAAGAAATGTACCTACCTACACATTCTACTGGTAGGGCACCCCTTGTCCCCTTTAGATTGGCTCGCCGCCAACTTTAAGCTCTTCCTATCAACATGTTCATTTTGTTAAGGCTCTGAAACACCCTAACAATTATCTATACTATTATGAACATTCCACACCAACATATGAGTTCATATACATATATATCGAGTCAAAAATACAGATAATCCCTGCAGGCTAAAGCTTGAGAACACTAATAAAGTTGGAAAAAAGAGATAAAAAGCCCAATTTATATCCATCATTCATGGAGATGACAATCCAATTGAAAATCATGAACCAAAATTATTTGAGAAT